AAAGCCACAGTCCTCACCTCAGCCCTGTGGCCTTGTCCCATGTGCCTGTCCCTGTTGCTGCTCCACACCTTCCCATGTGAGGCCACTTCCCACTGCTATCCTTCACACTTCTGTTCCCGAGCCAGAGCACACACCCCATGCCGTGCAGGGCTGGCTCCCTCCCTGCTCACCACTGTCCCATCTCTCCTGGCTCAGCGGGGTCCCCCTGCGTCCTCTGCCTGCACAGCCTCCTTAGTGCCTCAGTGTGTCACCAGCTCCCATGCTCATCACCCCCCTTGACCAGTGTGGGGGCTGGAGCTTAGGGAGGTTAAGTCTCACGCCGCGGGTCGCCTGCTGGGCAAGTGGTAGGTGCTTGCCTGAATAGACTCTTGCCCCACCGCAGGGGACCTGGCTACCCTTGGTGCCCTTCCTGGCACAGTGCTGGGCAGCGAGACTCCTGTGCCAAGGGTGATGACCACAGCCAGCATTTGCTGGCGCTGCTGAGAGTGCGTAGGCCGCCTGGTCCCTCCGGGCTGTTGTGACCTTGCTCCTCCGTCTCCTGGGGACACATCGTCTCCAGCACTTTCCTCCTCGCCTCTCCAGGGACTTCCTGCTCTGTTCTACCAGGGGACCAGTTGTAATGGTTCCTCCTCTGCTGTCCCCAGGGCCCAGGCTTCCGCCTCCCAGCCTGTGGGGACCCCAAATCTTCCTGCTTTGGGAAGGGGTCCCCTCTTGCTGTCACCTCTCAGCCCAGGAGCAGGTGACCATTAAGAGGGGTCTCCTGGGCGTGTCCAGCCTTTCCTGAGGCATCTGGGGAAGGAGAGGCCCTGATGAATCTCCTGCAAGTCTCTGCCCTGCTCTAGGCACTGGCATATGGCTCTCCTCCAAGAATTAATCTAAAGAAGACCCTCCTTCTTTCCCTCCTTCTTTCCCTCCCTCCCTCTCTCCCTCTCTCCCTCTTCTCTCTCTCTCTGGCGTGTGTGATGAACCCAGGGCCTCATACACACCATGCACATGTTCTACATTGAGCTGTGCCCCAGCCAGGAGGTTCATTTTTATAGAGGCCTGATGTGAGACTCAGAGAGGTTAAGTCACTTGCTCAGGGCCACACAGTGATGAGCTGCAGGTCTTTGATTTGAACCTCACAGGTCCATCTGACTCATCATTGTCTGAAATCTCTATTCAAAGGGCTTTCCTATTCTAGTGGTTTGGTGGCATCTGGTGACGTGGACTGGCCCTCGGGGACCTGATCTGGCAGATTTCTGATAGGACCCTTGGACTTGTTGTGATGCGGGGTTCAAGTTCACAATGCTCAGGGGCTGAACGGCGGTTGGCCCGGGCAGCCGGTGCAGGAGCTGCCTTTGCCCAGCAGTGTCCAGAGTCTGCCTTGCCTGCCTGAGTGAGGGTCCCTTTGACAGTGATTCTCAAGACCTGGCTTTGTGTCACTCCCCTCCTGTGCCCCTGAACACCAAACTGGACTTGAGTCTTGATCTGTCACACTCGTGCTGCGCTCCAGCCTGTGTCCCTGCTGGTCCCTGTGCCTGGTCCCTGCATCTCTGGCCGAGCCTCTCCTTCGCTACTACCTCCTGAGGCTGAGCGTCAGCCTGGCCGGCGGGAAGGAGACCTGGCTCCGGTCTAGCCCGTGCTGCCAACATCAGTGTCACGCTTGCTTTGTGATTCTCAGCTTCCCTTCAGCGTCCAGATTCCCGCCCAGGCTCTGTGGGCTGATGGGGAGGACGCAGAGCCTGTGCCGGCTCTAAAGGGCCGTGGGCATGTGGCGTCCCCAGGCAGGCCTGGAGGAGGTGCACCCTGCCTTAACCAGGACACAACCTCAGAATCCTCTTTTCCTTTTGTTAAATTGTGGCCAACTCTGCCTGCTATACAATTAACCATCCATTACACTGCTGTGTAATTCAGCAGCGTTTGGTGTGTTCACAGTACTGTGCAACCACCTCCTCTCTGTGACTGAGACCCTTTCATCGCCATAAACACAACTGGACTCATCACGAGATCACTCCCACCCTCCCCACCCTCTGCTCCTCACCAGCCTTCCTTTCTCTGGTGCCACTCGTGAATGCAGCACAGAGAAGAAAATGCGCCATTGCTGACCTCTCGTGTCTGGCTTTTCTGTGGTGCTGGGGCCCAAACTGAGCTCCTCCACGTGCTGCCCCTCAGCGCCTTGCCCCTGGCTTCTATTGCAGTTTTCTCTCACTTGCTTACACCATCCCCCCTGTGTAGCCTGTACCAGTGCTCCACTCTCTTCTATGGCTGAATAATAATCTGTTGGCTGGAGGAGCCACAGCTTCCTTCTCCGTTATCCTGGTTCCCATTTAGGTCCAAATCCTCCTTAACACACAGTGTCCTGAACTGGTGGTCTCCAAACTGTGGTTCCAAAATTTGCCTTCCTTTCAAGAAGAATGTTCATCACTCTTTCCCGTTGAATGTAGATTTACTTGTTTTCTATGTTTCCTACTGAACTCGTGTGTCCTGGACGTGATGAAATGCAGGTGAAGGACAGTCATGCGTTGCTTAGCAATGGGGACTCAGGCTGAGTGTGCAATAGGGCATTCTGTCATTGTACAGACGTCAGGGTTGCTCACACAAACTAGGATGGCTACAGCATCACTAGACACCGGTCTCACGAGGCCACCATCATCGCCCTCCATCGCTGACCAAAACCTCCCAGGTGGCACGTGACTGTCTAGACATCTGCAGTAGATAAGATGAGGAAGTCATACTGACAGTGCTTCTCACGTGTGCTCCCCACACCCACAGAACCCCTCCTGGGTGTCCGCTGTGGCAGAAGATGCACCTGGCTCATCCTAATTATAGGATTTCTGTTGTAGAAAAAATGGAGAGTGAAGACAAGCGGACATGGCAAGAGCAATCTCTTCCAGCCTCCAGCTCCAGCTCATTACAGGGGCTGACACTTGTCCAGCATGCGTCCCTTGGGTCGGGGCCTCCATGGTTGCTGAGGAGGCAAGAAGCCCAAGAAGAAACTGAGAACCTTAAGTCTGGTGTCTGGGTTTAGAGCCCAGGTCTGTCAGGTGCCAGTTGTGTGACCTTAGGCATATTCACAACACCTGTGCCTTGAGCTAGGCGTGGTGATGCACACCTGTAATCCCACTCAGGAGGCTGAGGCAAGTAGATTACAGGTTCGAGCCCATCCTGGGTAATGTAGTGAGGCTCTGTCTCAAAACTGAAAAAGTGCTGAGGGTGTAGCTCAGTGGTATAGCATCCCTGGGTTTGATCCCTAGTACCACAAAACAAATAACAACAACAAACCCACCCGTGCCTTTAACTGCAAAAAGCTTATGTATTAGTTAGCTGTTGCCGCATAACAGACTGCCCCAAAACTTGTGGCTTAAAACAACAAGCATGGGCTGGGGATTTAGCTCAGGGGTGCAGCACCTGCCTAGCAAGCATGAGGTCCTGAGTTTGATTCCAGGTACCAAAAAAGAAAAAAAAAAAAGAAAACATGTTCTCTTCCAGTTTCGTGGCTCAGGAATCTGCTTAGCTGAGTATCCCTGCTGCAAGGCCACAGCCAGGCTGCTGTCTCACTTGCCAGCTCCCCTGAGGGTGACCATCTCAGGTCCACTTCCACACTGCTGCAGAGGCCTCAGTTCCCGCTGGCTGTTAACCAAAGAATTCTCTCTCTCTTTTTTTTTTTTTTTGGTCTTTTTGAGAGAGGGTCTCACTATACAGTTCAAGCTGGCCTTGAGCTCACTTTGTAGCCCATGCTGCTCTCGAACTCACAACAATCCTCCTGTCTCAGCCTTCTGAGTGCTGGGATTACAGAGGTGCACCACCATGCTCAGCAACCAGGGAATTCTTTAGGTCCTGGCCATGTGGGAGCTCAAACAGAGCCAGGGTACAGCTCAGTGGTAGCGCAATTGGCTATCATGCACGAGCCCCTGAGCTCTAGCCCCAGCACTGCAAAAGAGAAGCAAAAGTAAACCAGCTAGCTTCCATCAGAGCAGCAGGGACAGGAGGCAAGGAGTGAGCAAGGTGGGAGCCTCAGTCTTTTATTTTTTCCTCAAGACAGGTCTTGCTTTGTACTTGAGGCTGGCCTTAAACTCACTATGTAGCCCAGGCTGGCCTTGAATGCTCAGCAATCCTCCTGCCTCAGCCTCCCAAGTGCTGGCATTATAGATGTATCCCACCACTGTCTTTTTATGGGTGGAGGGGGAGTACCAAGGATTGAACCCAGGGCCTTTGTACTGAACTATGTCCCCAGCCTATTTTTTATTTTGGGATAGGGTCTTGCTAAATTGCCCAGCCCGGGCTCAAACTTGCCACCTTCTTGCCTTGGCCTCCCGGAGTCCTGGGATTATAGCTGTGAGCCACTGTGCACAGCTGCTGGGCCAGTTTGTGTGAACTATACTATGTTGTCCTTTAGAAGCGAGCCACTAGGTCCAGCGCCCTCAAGGGACGTGGACTACACAGGGCATGGGTTGTAGGGGCTGGGTCATCGGGGCCATCTCCCTGGCTGCCCACCGAGCTGTCGCCGTTGTACCTGTCACAGGGGATATTGAGGATTTAAATGAGGTGGCAGGGTTGGGACTGCTGTGATACTTTATTTGTCACCTATCTGCTTGTCAGGGCCTTGGTTGCCCTGGCAACTGGGAAATGTGGAGCCAAGACAAGACATGAGACCCCAGACAGCCACAGCTCCGCAGAGGGACAGACGGGTGGGGCTGCGCAGCGCAGCCTCTGGAGGAGTCCGCTGGGGGTGGGGGCTGGGCCGGGAGGGCCTCTCTGGCTGGGCGGCTGCGTGTCTGATAAGAGGAGTCCTCCGTTCCAGCCTCTACTGAACAGTTGACACCAGCCTGGCTGTGTGACCCCAGGCAGGTTGTCCTGCCTTTCTGGGCCCCCCTTTGAAACGCCTGCTCAGCGTATGCCTTGTGGCTCACGCAGGGGCAGCTGGCAGGCGGGCAGGGAGGTCGCACCCACCCTGTCCTCAGGGCTGGCACTGGGAGACGCCATCCCTGGGGTTCACACCTGTCCCCCTGCGCCCTCAGGTGTTCTCCATCGTGGTGTTCGGCTCCATCGTGAATGAGGGCTACCTCAATAGCCCCTCGGAGGGCGAGGAGTTTTGCATCTACAACCAGAACCCCAACGCCTGCAGCTACGGTGTGGCGGTGGGCGTGCTGGCCTTCCTCACCTGCCTGCTCTACCTGGCCCTGGACGTCTACTTCCCCCAGATCAGCAGCGTCAAGGACCGCAAGAAGGCCGTCCTGTCTGACATCGGTGTTTCGGGTGAGCCCTGGCCTCGGGACATGGTCACTACCCTCTTCCCATTTCCCACAGGGGAGGCTGAGGAGCAGGTGGACGAAGGGACAGACTCAGGGTACATGGTGGCAAGCGGGAGGTGAGACCATGGCAGAGTCTGGGACCTCAGGACAGCACATGGCCCTCTGGGGTCGGGGACAGGATGGGACTAAGTTAGGCCTTGCTTGCACCCCTGCCCAGTGGAGCCTCAGGCAAACAGTGAGGGGTAGCGAGATGCCCAGCGCACAGTCAGTTCCCGGGAGCCTCAGTTTCCCCTTCCGTCAGGCCTGGGCAGGTGGATGTGACCTGCCACCACCCTTTGCCCTTCAGAAGTGGCCGCTGCCATAGGCTCCCTCACCGCTGTCCCTCGAGTCCCAGGAGTCAGCTTGGTGGATGCTCTGTCAGGGGTCAGAGCTGTGTATCTCAGCCACCCTGCCCCCAGACTGGGGGCTCAGGTGTCTGCGGAATGATCTTCCCATTTTCCGGGCCTGGGCCCCTTAGCCCTTCTAGAAGGAACCAGGATTAAATTTAAGGTTCTCAAACTTCCACAGAACCCCAGGGTCCCTGCAGTGCCTCTGGGTGCAGCACGTACTTTATCTTGGGCAGCACAGGGCGTCTCTGTGTGACCCTGGTCACCACAAGACTCCCTGCTAAGTTCCCAGATCTCCACTCTCCAAGGGCTTTGTGAGGCTGCCAGGTACTGGAAATGGAAGTCTTGACTCACCCAGGCTGAGATCACCAGATCTGTGGAAGCCGGAGCAGGGTGGAGGGCAGTGGCGCTCCTCCCTGACAGCTGCCAGCCCCAGGGGTGGGCTGCAGGGCCGCAGTCTGGGACGTGGCAGGGAGTGGGTGCCTGCGGAGGCTGGAGAAGTGCACCTGACTGACTGCCTTCTCTCTCTCCCTCCTGCCCCTCACTGCTGCGGCTCGTGCTGCCTGCTCCTGGCCCTGTCTGCTCCTTCCTTGGGGTCCCTTCTGCCTCTGCCTCTTGCCTGCGCCTCTTCCCACCCCCGCTTGCCCCCCTGGCCTCGCCTGTGGGGTGGGGGAGCACGGGAGACCTGCTTTTGAACTGCCCCGTTCCTCCCTTCGCCCTGGTGTGTCACCCCGCCTGTTGTGCCTGGCCCCGGGGACCCCCAGCCTTCTGGGCCTTCCTCTGGTTCGTGGGCTTCTGCTTCCTGGCCAATCAGTGGCAGGTCTCCAAACCCAAGGACAACCCACTGAACGAAGGGACCGACGCAGCCCGGGCCGCCATCGCCTTCTCCTTCTTCTCCATCTTTACTTGGGTGAGTACAGCACCTGAGAGCCCACACTCCAGGCCCTGCGATGGCCTCGCTCCTTCCCAGCCCTGCCTGTGGGGTCACCACCCCCTGCCACTCTGTGGATGGCATTTAGCGCCTCTTTTAGGTCTGAGAAGGTGGAGGCCTGGACGGGAAGGTGGGGCTCCAGGCTTTGAGGCTAGGAAGGAGGCAGGCCAGGAACCAGGAGACCGTCTCAGCCTGGGCTGCCCCAACTGTCCTGGCTCCTGTCTTTCATCTGGAAAATGAGGGAAGTGGGGCAGGGGTCACAAACCCAGGTGCTTGAGCTTCGTGACCCATGCCTGTCCATCCTAGGAGAATCCCCTGTGCTCCGCTCCGTTGCCAAGCAGGGATGGGAACCTGCAGAGGCTAGGGCTCCTAGTTTTACCGAGTGAGCCAGAATTTGGGATTTTTTTACATGAAATCTGATCTCTGTGTAGGGATAGTTTATTCAAGTTAAAAAAAAAAAAAAAAAAAAAGGTGAGTCAAAGAAAGCTCGGCCCTGGGCCCAACAGCCCGGAGACCCATCCTGCGCAGGCGCCAGCTGGGTGGTGGAGACCCTGCAGCTCCCCACAAGCGGCCCTTCTCTCCCCGGGTGCAGGCCCTCTCCTCTCTCCTGTCGTCTTCCTCCTGTGGAGAGCCAAGGTCTCCTCTGCTCCAGGCCCTGTCCCCAGGGCTGCCCTCCTCCTGTTCACCGCACTGACCCCTCCAAGCCTCGCACAAGGAAACCTCGGGACTGTAGACTGGCAACCAGCCCTCCCTAGTCCCTACCCTCTTTGGGGTGACTCCCCTGCCCCCTGCTGAAAATCAAATCCAGGGTGTTCTGCCACTGAGCTATACCCCGAGCCTTTTTTATTTTGAGATAGGGCCTCACCAGTTGCCTCTTCTGGCCATGAACTTTTGACTCTCCTGCCTCAGCTTGCTGAGTAGCTGGGATTGCAGGTGTGGCCCACCGCACGCATTCATTTCTTTCCCTTCCTGAGGGCCCCTGGATGTCCATTTGCTTCTGGGACATCCAGTCTCCCTCTACAGTACTGGGAGGTGGAGTTTGGAGGGGGAGACCTGTAGTCCAGGTCCTTGCAGCCAGCCGTGGTGACTCTGACTCTTAATGTCTTCAAGCCTGGGCAGGAAGAACAAGGTCACCCCAAGGGATCTCAGTCCAAAGAAGGCACCCCAGAACTGGGGACCACACAGCCTCCAGGGAAGAGTTTGGAAACCCGGCCCTGAGATTGAGCAGGGTTCAAAGGAGGAAGGGGTGATCGGACACCGGGATTTCTGGGGGCGGAGCTGAAGCACTGACTCACAGGGGCCTCCGCAGGCCCCCACCCTTCCCAGTCCTCTCCAGCGGCCTCACCCTGCTCTCTCCGGCAGAGCCTGACCGCAGCCCTGGCCGTGCGCAGATTCAAGGACCTTACCTTCCAGGAGGAGTACAGCACGCTGTTCCCTGCCTCAGCACAGCCCTAGCTCCCCGGCCTGGTGCCAGAAGTGATGGGGACCCCAGGGCCCTTAAGATTCACCACTTACCACTTTCTTCCATGCCTGCTTTGTTCATTGTTTTGTGTTTGTTCATTCAGTAAACATTTATTGAGCAGCTGTTTTGTGCCTATGACAGTTAGACGGAGTCCCTGGCCCCAGGAGCCCACAGGCTGGGCTGGGGAGTCAGACACATCAGAGCTGCCCCCAGATGGGCTGCAGGCTCTTAGCGAGTTTGGGGGGCTCTGTACTTGCCAGGAGGTATCCGTGACCCAAGGTACTGAGCTGTGGCCACAGTATGATAGCTTCTCCACAGCTGGGGTGTGAAGGGTGACTTTGTGCCCCCTTGGAGAGTGGCTCCCAAGAGGGGTTAGCCTGGGGTGCTGGGGGATTCTCAGCCGGGTCCCGCCTTCCCGTGCTGGTGAACTGAGAAAGCCTCAGTCCGTTTCCTTGGGCCGACAGATGGTGATGGGCCAGCGTCTCAGGCTGGTTGTGCCGATGGAACAGGCCAACGCAAGGCTTGGCACAGAGATGCTCAATAAATGTAAGCTCTTGTACTTACTCCCTTACTCATTCACCCATTCATTCACCCATTCACCCATTCATTCATTCATTCTCTCCGGAGAATTGGGCTCCTCTGTAGGCTCTGTTTTAGGGGTGATCTTCTTGTGGCTAACCCTTGCTCTGCCAGAGGACTTGGGCCTCCCTGGGCTCAGCTGCCTGGGTGGCCCCCACCTACCACTCCTCTCCACAGGAGGTGAGGGGCAGCACCCAAGCCTTGCTATTGCCAAGCGTGCAGAGTGAGAGTCCTGGGCCGGGAGGCATAAAGTACAGACTGCCCGCTGCCAGGGCGATGCTGTGGAGCGCTCCAGCTAGAGCGCCAGGTGGACCCCAGGTCTCCGGGCCCTGAGCAGGACTCCTGGCCTCCCCGCTGCAGCTCAGTCTAGCATGGGCCTGGGGCTCTCTTTTGTCCCCGTCCTATGGTGCCTTTAACTGCTTGGCTGCCGGAGGCCTTGAGCCCGTAAGGCTGTGGGCCAGCCCGCCGACCATCCTTAGTGCCTGTACAGAGCTGCTCCCTGGGAGGGTCGAAGAGGCCATCTGCTGCAGCCCCCTGCCCGACGGGGAGCCCGGAGCTCGGGGGACCAGGCCTGCGGACCCTGCTCTCGGGGAGTCATCCATTCGTTCCTTTGGGCTCCCAAAGGCTCTAGCCAGCACCTTGGGTGTGCCCAGAGCTCCTCACCCATCTGCCTTTTGAGGCTCCACCTCTGAGCCCACAGCAGCCCGGTGATGACCCGAGGTGCACTCCTCTGCCCCACTTCCCTAGACATGGTCTGACCTTCCCAGGTCCCTGTGCTTTTCTTCCAGGGACGGGCTGCCCCAGAGTCCTCCAGGTAACGCCTGACCTGGGTTTTTGGAGCCCTCTGGGACGGGGTGCCATTCGGCCTGTTTGCAGTTGAACCTTTGGGTCCCTGGTTGACTTGGTGCATTGCAAGGGACTGACCAAATGGGAGGGGGTGAGGAGGGCCTGGCCCAGGAAGAAGCAGGACCCCTGTGTTTAGGGCCGGGCTGCAGCTCTAGCTGCCTCCTCTAGGCCTCAGTCTTCCCAGCCCCCAGCAGGAGTGAGCAGCACACTGCTTCCCACTGCAGGCTACAAAGATCTATGGGGAAAGCTCTGCCATGAGGCTGAGGCTCTTGTTTGTAGTACTGGAGGTTGAACCCAGAGCCTTTGTACTGAGCCACACCCCCGCCCTGTGTTTTGTTTGAGGAAGAGTCTTGCTAAGTTTCCCAGGCAGGGCTCAAACTTGCAATTCTCCTGTCTCGGCCTTCCAGAGTGGTGAGATTAAAAGTGTGCACCACCTCACTTGGCTCAAGGCTGGTTTGAGAGACAAGTTTGACTCCTTAGCTTGGCATGGACAGTGTCATTTTTTGGTACTGAGAATTGAACTCAGGACCTTGTGCTTGCCAGGCAGGCGCTTATGCCACAGAGCTCTATCCCTGGCCCAGTGTCACTGTTCTCAAAACAATAGTTTTACTGAAAAAAGTGTCCTAACATGTATGTGTGCTGCAGTCACTGGTGCTGTGCAAGGTGGGCTTTGGTGGGAAGACGAGACTGGCAGAGGTGCTTGTCGGAGTTCCCCAAATAGTCAAGGCCCTGGCAGTCAAGGTCATGTCATCCTGGCACTTGTTTCTGTTTAACTCAGTTCCCTACGTTTGTATAACCAGGTGTTTCAGGTTCAGCAACAGTGATGGAAATCCCAAATAACTGACTTGAAGATAAGTCTGGGAGGACCAAGGGTATGGCTCAGCGGCACAAGCGCCTGGCTGGCAAGTGTAAGGTCCTGAGTTCGATCCCTGGTACAAAAAAAAAAAAAAAAAAAAAGATAAGTCTGGGGAGGGAGTCCCAGGCTGGCATAGCGACTCAGGGGTCCTTTGTGATCCAGGCCTTTGCCATCCTCATGGTCGATTTTGGCACCTAGAGCTCCAGCCATCATATATGCATTCTAGGCATCAGATCAGAGGGAAGGACAAAGAACATGGAGATATCTCCTTGGTCAAAACTTAGTCACGTGACTGTCTAGCTGTGAGATATAGAAGGAGAGCTTTTAGGAAATGCCAAGAGATCTCTGTCCTACTAAGAAACTTTTTTCCCTATTCTTTACAGTATCCCCAAGGACACACATTGAGAAGGCTGGGGGCTTTTGGGCCGCTTTAACTTTCCACAGTGGACACAAATATTTCTGGGCCACACAGGGCAGGTGGCTTGGGAGGTCCTCTCTGCCTGGATGTTGTGATTCTGGCCTCTGGATGGGGTAGCTGCTGGGACAGCTTGGTTTTGTGTCTGGTGCTTTGAGGATCTTTAAGCCTGTGTCCCATCAACTAACAACTAACCCAGCGCTCTTGTCTGTCTCTCCCCTAACCATCCCCTCCCTCCTATCCTATCCCCATGGCCCCGTCCCCAGGCGGGCCAGGCCGTGCTGGCCTTCCAGCGGTACCAGATTGGCGCCGACTCGGCCCTCTTCTCCCAGGACTACATGGACCCCAGCCAGGACTCCAGCATGCCTTACGCCCCCTACGTGGAGCCCACCACAGGGCCGGACCCCGCCAGCATGGGCGGCACCTACCAGCAGCCAGCTACCGCCTTTGACACGGAGCCACAGGGCTACCAGTCCCAGGGCTACTGAGCCTCAGTGACCGCCTGCCCCAACCCCACCCTGCACCCCCAGCCCTGCCCCGCCCCACCCACACCCCGCCCAGCACCTCCACACCTCCAGGTCACTCCATGGAGGCTAGGGTGGCTCGGGGCAGGGATGGGGCACCAGGTGTGGGGGTGTCTACCTGTGTGTACCAGCGTGTCCGAGCCCAGCGGGGGCCTAGAGGGTGGGACTGGGGACAGTGCATTCATTCCCTGTGCCCACAAGCACTCACTGAGCGCTGCTGTGTGCCAGGCCCAAGCTCAGCATAGGGGTGAGAGGTAGCGCTGGTCCCTGGAAAGGGGAGGCCGAGATGTGGAGTGGCTCCATCAGTACCAAGGTGGGAATGGTGGGATAGAGACAGGTGTGGTGCCTGGAAGTCTGGCCACAGGGGCTCAATCCCAGCATTCGGGCTGGCATCCCTAGATCCCCCTACAGCAGGCCTGCTGGGCTTGTCAGGGCTGTCCCCACTGCACGGTTGAGGAAACCAAGGCCTGGGGAGAACAAGGTCACTCACCCCGGGCACCTCAGGCAGCTGGCGTAGGGGCGAGGCCACACCCAGGCCACCCAGACCCCCAGCGCCTGCCTGCTCCTCCCTGTCCTCGTGCCACCCCCCACCCAGAGCCTGGGGCTCCACCGCTCGGTGTTAGCCTCACTGTGGGGGACTTGCGGACCCCAGCCCGATGAGACACGCTGATTCTGCTGCAAGTCAGCTCGCTCTGCCCCAGCCGCACACCCGCCCCGTCACTCACTGTCCCTGTGCTCTGCCTGTTCCCCGAGTCCCTCAGGGGCTCAGCAGCCCCCTCTGTGGCCTCTCCGGACTGCTCACTGTCCTCGCCTCTAGCAGGGGCCCTGAGTCCTCCCCAGGGCAGGTGGACAAGGAGGCCCAGGGCTCTTCTAGTGAGCGGCGGCACTGGCTTCCGGCCTCCGTTTCTTACCTGGTCAGCCAGCAGGTGCAGATTCCCCACCCTTGTGACCTCCCTGGAAAGGAATGCTACCTAGGACACAGTCGGGGCGTCAGGCTGGATTCGGGGCTGGAGCCCTGTGGGCGTGGGGAGGTCTCTGGGAGCAGTCGGGGTTCGGAGTCACAAGGCCGATGGCGCACAGGCCCATGGGGTGTGCTGCCCCAGGTGAGCAGAGCGGGAGAGGGGAAGCGACAGTAAAGGCCCAGAGGGGGAGCAGCAGGCAGCACTGCACAGGCACGGTCGACCTCAAGCCTCTCGGGGCAGGAGAGCAGCACGTCTGCCCAGCACACACGGGGGAGCAGAGCAGAGGAGCTGTGAGTGGCCCATGAGGACGGGGTCCCACCACCATCACCCTCAGCCTCCCAGGATCCAGCGAGTCAGGTCGCTTGCTGGCCCTCTCTGGCACCTGGGCTGGGGAGCCCCAGGATGTGTGGTCCCTGCCTCCCGGAGCGCCTGGTCTGTTCGGGAGGATAAGCACTGAACGGTGTGGAGTCCGTGGTTGGTGGGACGCACAGTTCACATGCACTGGGGCCCCGAGGGTGGCAGGAGTAGTGGGGAGGTGGGGCGCTTCTAGGCAGACACCTAGTGTCTCTCTCCCCACTTAGGCGAAGGGGAAAACGATTCTGAGCACAAGTGAGTATCCGTGAAGCACAGGCGTGAACTCACCTGGCTCAGGCCCCGCAAAGGCAGCAGTGATGGGAGAGGACCTCACGTGTTGCTGAGTCCCACTTTCCACTTCTGGAGAAGGGGCTCCGTTGACTGTCCCCCCAGGTGGCTGGAGTGGGGACAGCACGGGGACCGGTTACCTCTGCCCTGAGCATCCCCAGTGGGCCCGTGGTGGCTGTGGGAGTGTTTCCAGCACGGCGAGGTTCTGTGCCCGCTGTGGGAAGCCGGGACAGGTCCCAGCCCCACCGGACTCTCCCCTGCTGTGGGCCCAGCGAGACTCCATCTCTCCTGCTGGGTGCCAACCAGCTGCTGGCAGTGCCAGGCCGGGAGGCAGGGTGCCCTTGCCCTTCACCTGATCCTGGGTGTGTATTGCAGACTGGCCCCGCTGCCCCAGGCTGTGGGCATTTACAAGACCCCTGCCATGCGTGGGGGTGATGCTGAGTCAGCTCAATAAGCACCCCTCAACCCTCGCTCCTGAGGTACAGCCTGGATACAGGCTCCCAGCATGGTCCGCCACTGGGCAGGGACCCGCGATGGAGGAGGGAGGCAGGGCAGATGGGACGAAGAGCTGCTGACTCCACTACTGGGAGGTCCCTAGGGGGCCCCAAGCCCACAGGCCAGCAGCATCTAGCACCCCTCCTCCACTCCCCCTGCTTCCCCTTGCTCCCACACTGTCCGGGGGGAGAGGCCCCTTGCAAGCCCTGTGGAATTGGGACCCCTTCTCATCAAGCACAAGAGAGGGCGCAGGACACCAGGGTTCCACACAAGTTTAGAATTGCAAGAGCCTTTAGAAAGGTTAGAGCTGGGACAGGAAGTGTCCTAGGTAAAGCACAGAGAGGTGCAGAGCCCGGGCTCCAGCCTTCTACGTGGACACAGGCCGCCATGGCTCCTGACATACCTGGGAGTGTGGTATTGGTGGGCAGACTCCCAGGGAACCAGCATCGGTTCCTCACTCCATCCTGCCCTGGTGATTCTTGATCTGCAAGGACTCTTGGGATCCCTGGCTTCTCCCATGTAACCAAGACCCTCTACTTGTTACTTTGGGGGACCCTAACCTTGGCCCAAGATCCTTTTGATTCTCCAAGGAACAAGAAAGGGGAATCCCCACCCTAGAGTTTATGGAGGGTGGCCTGGTCCAGCCGTCTCCCAGCGCTGCCCCTACCCCAGCACCCCACACCCTGGTGCCCACAGCCCTTGTCTGGGTGCCTGGCCCCTTTGCAGCGTTACTGCCTGTGTATAGTATAAATATATATATTTTCTATATCTAAGATGTATAATATAAGGCTCCACAAATATATCTGTGTGCGGTGAAGGGCTGGCCCTGTCCTGGCCCCTGCTCTCGACCCCCACCACCTGGTTAAGTCTCTCGAGTGAATCCAGTGGCCCTGTGGCCCCCTCCTTTATGACATCCGTCCATTTGTGGTGAACCAAGTGAAGGTGGTGATTCCTGGTGACATAGTAATAAAGTGAAGACTCAGAACCCACCAGCGCATCGCAGGTGTGTCCCGGTGTTTCTCTGTTCTCTTGAGTGTGGCTTGGGATTGCCCGACCCCATCTCCCCTGCCCTGGGCCAGCGTTATTATTGTTTAATTCTTAAATTTACACAGTGACGTTAAGAATATGTTCTCTTTTTGAAAAGTAGAATCACCACAGTTGTAGCCAAAATCTCCACCTGACGTGTACACACACACACTCGGTCTGGTCCCTTCCCCAACCCCCGGGGGAACAAGGGGAAGAGTTTGGCCTTTCCAGGCCACCTCCACGCTCTTCCATGTGCACATCGTGGTCACAGGACTCATTCCTGACAGTGACTGTAGGAAGTCCCAGGTGCTGCTGAGCCCTGTAGTTCAGCATGGAGCCAGGCGGAGTCCCTGTCCTGGCAGACATGGCCACTTGGGGGTTGGGGAATTAAATCAACATGCAAGCAAATGTGAGTGGGAGGCGGGGTGTGAGAAGGTCTGAAGATGCAGTCGAAACCAGGAGGAGCGGGGACAGCCCCTAGCAGGTGACACTTAACCTGAGCTCTCTGGGATGCACATGGGTGGATGGCAGGGTGGACTGGTGACTTCTAGTGAGAGCAGCTGGTTAGGGAAGAGGTAGTGGGAGGCCACAAGGACAGGGGATCTTTAAAGAACCCTTGCCGGCCTCCATAGCGGTTGGGTCATTAGTGCCAGGACAGTGCTGAAGGGTGAGTGGCCAAACTGAGGTTGTTTTTTTTTTTTTTTTTGATTTTTGATTTTTCTCCGGTACCGGGAACTGAACTCACGACCTTGCGCTTGCCAGGCACGCGCTTTGCCGCTGAGCTAAATCCCCAGCCCCCTTTTTTTTCTTTTTCTTTTTTTTTTTTTTTTCAAACTGAGGTGTTGTGGGATGAGGCAGTGAAGAGGCTGTGGTCCGCTGTGCAGACAGAGCGATCATCATGACGAGGTAAGAGTGGCAGGAAGCGAGATTTGAGCAAATAATGAACTAAGGCGGGTCAGATGTGACAACTCTGGTCCAGGGGTGGCGCTGGAGCTCAGGACTGGTGGAAAAATTGGTGAACCGGGTCTCTATGGGGCTGTCAGCGGCAGTACTGGCCACGCCCACACACACCCTTGGTGAATAAGCCAATCAGATTGACCCCCTCCAGGATGAGGCATCCAGATTGGTCAGTCCAAGTGAGAAGGGCCGGCAACTAGCGTAAAAAGCAAGATGGGCAGGTGTCAGGGTCTCAGTTCCATGTATCCGCACCTTGGCCGGGGACATAGCTCAGTGGCACAGTGCCTGTATGGCAAAGGCGAGGTCCTGAGTTGGTTTCCCATACCAAAATAAAAAAATCTGAAAACCGATTTATCCACCAGTGACCCCCATCCCATTCTTTAAGGAGGCTTCTGCTGCAGCTCCTCTTAATCAACAGCCCAAACACCTCTGGACGGCCTGACCCTGAGGCTGCAGCAAGCCCATGGGGAAACAGCTATAGGAAACAGCTGGAGCGAGTTCCAACTAAGGGCTGCAGGGTGGTGAAAACGACCCGCCCTGCTGGAGTCCGGGGTTAGCAGCTCTCGTCCGGCAGCCCCTTTCCCCAAAGGCTTCAAGAAAACCAAGCAGAATCGTGGCCCGCCCGACGGAAGGTGCGCAGTTAGCACTAGTTACATAGCAGTCACGTCATCCTCCAAGCGCGCATGCTCTCCTGCCTTCTGTTCTCCTCAGACACTGGAGCGCTCATCACCTACTTTACCTGCGGCGTCACTCACCCGGATCTGCCACCTGCACGGAGAGCCAAAAGCAGAAGTCAGGTCGAGAAGATGTTCCCAAAGGGGATGATGGGGAGGGCGAATTGGGAACATAGGAGCCACAGTGGGGTGTGTCAGCCCGCTAAGGTGACCAGCTGTCTACGCTGTAATGTGGGTTTGTTGTTTTGTTTTGTTCTGCAACACTGGTTAAACCCAGGCCCTCGTGCATGCCAGGCACGCTCTCTACCCCTGAGAGATACTTCGCTAGCTCTTTCTATTTTTTATTTTAAGACAGGGTTTCCCTAAGTTCCCCTGCGGGCCTCCAGCTTGCGGTCCTCCTGCCTCAGTCTCCTGAGTACCTGAGGTTACAGGCATGTGACACCATGCCCAATATGATGTAGTTTTTAAAATGTTACAATGTGATGGGCAAACTTTGGGCTTGAGGAGAGTTATTAGAGACCTGAAAGAACTAAGTTAGAACAATTTAAGAAAATATAAAACCTTTAAAAAAAATACTAGTTTTCAAAATCAGTGCTGCTGCATAACTGGTAGGGCCAAGTACAAAATGAAAATGCAGAACCTCTTGTTTGAAAAGCAGTAGACTGAGGCAGGAGGATCACCATGAGTTTGAGGCCAGCCTGGGCTGCACAGTGAGTTCAAGACCAGCCTGAGCTACATAGCAAGGCCCTGTTTAAAAAAAAAAAAAGGCAGTAGAAACTAGTGCACTAACATACTAAAATAGAACACTTTTCCCTTTCAAAATATTTTATTATAAAAATGTAATAGTGGTTCCTGAGTAGCACCACAAATTTATAATTACAATAATATTTTGCTGTCATAATTTTATATAAAACAATAAATACTAATACCATATGAATATGAAAACATGGCTGAGCATAAGATTTCTCTGGATCATTTTTCTGTGAATTGAAGTCATCAAATATTATACTTTTAGAGATGGTTTTTTTTTTGTTTGTTTGTTTTTGTTTTTGTTTTTGTTTTTCTCCGGTACTGGGAACTGAACTCACGACCTTGCGCTTGTCAGGCAGGCGCTTTTGCCGCTGAGCTAAATCCCCAGCCCCCAAATATTATACTTTTGACAATTTGATTTTCAGTGGAAATCTATAGTAGTCATTCTTTGTAAATGCAAGGGAACTTTTTGTTTGTTTGTTTGTTTTTCATTTTTTTTGTTTTTTTTTCCGGTACCGGGAATTGAACTCAGGACCTTGCTCTTGTCAAGCAGGCTCTGTGCTGCTGAGCTAAATCCCCAGCCTCGCAAGAGAACTTTTTAAAATAATTGTAAATATTGAGAAGGACCTTTCTGGCAATGCCACTGTGGCTGGAGCCACCAAGAATATATCACAGAAGCCAGGTGTGGTGGCGTGTACCTGTAGTCCCAGCACTCAGGAGGCTGAGACAGGAGGATCACCAGGAGTTTGAGGCCAGCCTGGGGTACATAGTGAGTTCAAGGTCAGTTTGGACTATACAACAAGACCATGTTTTTGTTTGTTTGTTTGTTTTGTTTTAAGGAAGGGAAGTTTATTTAGCTCACAGTTTGTGGAGGTTTCAGTCCATAAAGACCATGTTTGAAACAAACAAAAAAGAATATCTTTAAAAAAAAAAAAAAGAATATCTTATAGGCTGTCACATCAGGTGAAATTTGTGACGAATTATTTCAAATACGAATTTTAGTACCACAAACTGCTGATTCTTGTGAGACTGTTTTTCCAAAAGGGTTTGATTGCCCCTACCAGTTTCATCGAAGTCTGAATTCAATTTCACATGTGAATTCGTATCGTGATGTTCAGTGCTTCCTCTGACATTTTCTACAACTTCGGGGGGTTGTACAAGGAACTGAACATGATCCCGTGATTTGCATATAATTTGAATAACATGTTTATGCGATTTAAGTGTATCACTGATTATGGGAAAACTTCATCTCAAAATTGCCTTCCTCGTTAATGATGAAGCTTCACGCAAACGTGTAATTATTTTCCATAGAGTATGATGCTCTTTCTATTTAATTTCTGTCTAAGCTTGCAGACATTTGCCTTGTCCTGCTGCAGCATTTTCAAAACCAGAAATTCTAAATGCCTTGAAGGAGTCTAACAGTTCCCTGATGGGCTTTCACTCTGTAACAACCTGCTGAGGAGCTGTACCTGTGCCCCTGCTGCAGGGACGGGCGCTCTGTGTCGTGTCTCTTCCTTTCCATGGCCCCAGTGGGCTGCTGCCACGGCCAGTTTGTTCTGCCGCTAAGCATCTCTGTCCCCTCGCAGCCCCACAGTGTCCCAGACTTCCCAGCCACGCAGGTGCCTACCTGGTGGCCAGGCCTACTGCTGGGTGCCTGTGCTGCCCACCACTTCCCTGCCCAGTCCACCCTGCTGTATCTTTTCTGTTCTCTGGATTTGCTTACAAAACACAGGTTCAAAGATAAAATTATTAAGAGTTTCAATTCACAGCATTTCAAGGGCAAAGGCAGAGCCCCTGTGTGTGTGTGTGTGTTTTACTGGGAACCGAACCCAGGGCCTTTATACCGAGCTGGGTCCACAGCTTTTTTTTTATTTTTTTAAGATGGGGACTTGCTATATTAGTAAGTTGCCCAGGCTAGACTCAAATTTGTGGCCCTCCTGTCTCAGCCTCCTCGAGTGCTAGAGTTATAGGCATGCGCTGCCACCCTGGCTCAAGATGATCCTATTTTACAGATGAGGCTCTGGGCCAAAGAGGTCACATGGCACCACTGGGGTCGCCCTGGGCACAGTCTGATTCGAGCAGGTCATATGTCTACGCTGACACCCACGCCCTTAGCCACTCTGCTCCTTTCGTTAAGTTCATGGTGTACGCTCTTGGTGACTCACACACCGGGAAGCCTGTTTCTAATGTGAAAGTGCTCCTGCCCTGCGTGCTTCTCCATCAGCCAAGGCTTCTGCTTCGGTTACCCTCTGTCACCTGTGCTTCCCCAGCTCCGGTGTCTTCCCAAGCCCTGTCCCAGTTATGTGTCCCAGATATGCCGCTTCAAACATTTCAAGCTTCAGGCATCACGGAAGCCCTTCCCCTCCAGCCCCTGGAGTGTGCAGGCTTTTCGCACCTGCCATATTGGCGCTGGCAAGGGGGAGCCTTCTGGTCAGCATCCCCAGCCGCAGCCCTGGGCCTCTTCTCCATCTATGTGCACTTTCAAGCTCATCATGGCTTTTGTTTTGTCTTGTTTTTTGTGGTAGTGAGGGTTGAAGCCTCAGCCTTTGCACTGAGCCCCAGGCCTTTCCCTTTCCTTTCCTTTCCTTTC